CATTTACCTTGTTGCTGGTGCCCGATTTTTTTTTTTTTTTTTTTTTTTTAAGAGAGAGCATTTTTGCTATAGGGCGTGTGCGCTTGCCAGAGAGACAGAAAGTGAGAAATCACCTCCTGGGGGATGGCTACACCACAACCCCTTCTCCTCCATTCTCCTGGATTTGGGGCACGCACACACATGTACCTGGTGTGTTTCAAACTGCCGGATGTGGTACTCAAACCCCTGTTGACTACGTGGGAGTCTAGCGATGTAACCATTATGCCATCTGATGGCCTCTGGACATATTATTTTCAAAATAAAAAGACTGCTGTACACGTGAAGATAAGTGGTGTCTTTAGCTGCTCCGCACGGTTGAAGACCAGGCAGCCCGTGGCCCCTGAGAGACCAGCATTTGCAGGAAGATCGGGTGGGAGGCTGGCCTCTCAACACAGAAGCTTCCAGAAGCCCAGGTCCTTGTCTGCCTCGCTGGCCTACACTAAACCAGATTGTGACTGCCCAGGTCAGGGGACCTAGGGTACCGCGCTAAACCTAGGTTATAACGGAGGCCACTCACAGGGTCTGGGAATCCTAGGTCCTGGCCGCCACTGCAGGGGCCAGGGCTGAGCCCCAAGCAGGCCAGAGGGCAGCTTGTGCCCTTGCTGAGCAGCAAGGCTGGCGGTGCCTTCTTGGCACTCACCGTGCATACGGCTGTCTGCAGGATGGCATCGAAGCCGCCCTCCGGAGCATCTAGGTTCCCTGAGATCCGCTCTCCCTTCAGCTTGCTCCGGAACTCCTCCACATCCCGCGTCAGGCTGATGACGTTCTTGAAGGAGAAGGGAGGGTCACTGTTGGGCCAGGGCTCCTTCAGCCTGGACAGAGGGAGAGAGAGCCTGTCAGGGGGGAAGAACCCCCATGCTCCAGGGCCCATGGCCCATCTCAGCCAGAAAGGAAATTCAAGAACTGAGGGGAGAGAGGAGGGGCCGCCCAGCCAGACCATCGCCCAGGGCCCACTCCGCTGCTCACTTCTCGGGCCTCATGTCTGTCTGAGGGACGCTGACTTTGTCCACGAACTTGCCAAATCCGATCGTGTAGTCACTGGTGAGCTGCCTCAGGATCTGGGCTGGCAGCAACAGGAAAGGGGGACAGCTGAGCGCTACACCCCACCTAATCACAGGAGCCCTGGGTTGGCTCGGGAAGAGGGCAGAGGGGCAAGGGCACCTCTTGTTAGCACTGCGTGGTGGACACAGGATCATGCGCACTACGGCTCTCCTCCCTGCACACGAACAAGGACGGGGGGTGCAGGAGGCCTAGAGCTATGTGCATAGCAAGTGGGGGGCTGGGGACTGCACCCAGCTTGTCTGCCAAGCTGAGACTCGGCCACAGCCTCATGGCTGGGGTAGGGGATCTTCCTTGTCAGGGCTAGCTGACCTGGGCTAACTGGTGAGTGAGGTCTGTCCAGGACCTTCCCCTGGGAATGGGTTGGGTATCTGGGGTGGGTGGGGGGCTCACATGTTCTGTCTTCCTTGTGGGGGGTGCAGCTGTCCTAAGTCCTGGCCTTCCAAGTAGGTACTCAGCTAGCTAGGGGAGCTGCCCTCCTTACCCCCACCCTGCCAGCCCCCCATGCTGGTCCAGCTGTACCCAGTCTCTGCCCCATCTCCTTGAGGTTGTCCAGATCGTCAGACATGGAGTTGGAGAAGTCCATGAGGATATACAGGTCCACGGGGCTCTCCAGGGGCTCGAACACCTCGAGCTGAAAGTGCTGCTCTTCACCCGGCCGCAGCCGGACCCGCAGGCCCTGGGGTGACACCTGGCTGCGGTGCAGGGTGGTGTCGATCTGGGTCTCCTGCATCAGAGGAAGGGAAGAGCTGGTTGGAAGGGCCCTTCCGAGACTGGTGGGGAGCCCTTCGGCCCAGCCAGGGAGCCCCCGCCCCTGCTGCAGGCACCTCTGTGATCTCGAAGCTGCTCTGCAGGAACACCACGCTCTCCCGCCGGCAGCCTGCAGCCAGCAGCTCCGCCTGGGTGTTACAGCGCCGTTCCTTGAACATCTGACCAAAGGAGACAGGGTCAGGGGACAGCTCCCATCCCCGGGCCATCCCCACCTAGTACTCCTGACCCTGGCCTGTTCTCCCACACCCTGTTACCCCCAGGCTGGGCTGAGAGCGGGGCAAGTGGGGACTTGGCCAGAGCCGGAGGTGGGACATGGCCAGGTGCGGTGTGCGGGTCGGGGTAGTGGCCTGGGCTAGCCCCGGGCCTGGAAGGCAGGTACGGCTGCAGTGCCTCACCTCGTCGATGCAGTAGGCGCAGTCCTTGTCCACACGGACACACTCGGTGCAGCTCCTCACCTGGGCCTTCTTGCAGCGGTTTGCTGGTGGGCAGAGGCGGCAGACACATGGGATGGCCACAACCTCCAAGCCCTCTCCACCTGCACCCCACCCCAGAGACATGGGGCTTCCCCTCATTTAACGGAGAAGGAGACAAGGCCGGGGTGTGTGGTCTCTCTCAGGGAGCACAGCCAGAAATGCTCAGGGCCAGCTCTCAGCCTGGGACTTGCCACTTATGTCCGGGGGTGGGGGGTGGGGGCTGGCTGTTGCTGACTGGACACCCTGGCTGTCTCCCCCCACTGACTCCTTAGATCCACAAACGTTCCTTGGCCTCCCCCGACACCCCCACCCTGTCCCTGCCCTCGGCTGTTCTCTGCCACCACAGCTCGCACTGCGCAGTCACGGCCACGAGTCTTGCCTGTCCTCAGAGCCTCTTCCAGGGTCTTGTTCTTGGTTGTACCCTACATCTGCACAAGGTCAGCACACAGTAGGGCCTCAGGAAAGGAATGAGGTCCCACTCCAGAGCTTCCCCCACATTCTCTTTGGTTCTGTTCAGCCTCCCCTGTGTACCCAGTGTGTGCTGTGAGTGGTCTGGTCCCCAGACAATGGCACCTGGTCAATGTTTAACAACATTTCCTTTGGCGAGGGAGGGGAAGCCCTGACCTGTCCCAGCTGCGATTTCCGATTTCCGTGGTGTAAATATTCCCACCATGGTCTCTTTCAAGCTATCAACACTGCCTCAACTGACAGTAGGAGGCACCTGTCAACTGGCGACACTCAGGGAGCAGGAGAACTGACGTTAGTCTCAGTCCTCCAAATTCCTGTAGAACTTTTTTTTTTTTTGAAAGGTTTTATTTATTTATTTATTTATTTATTTTGCTATAGGGCACATGCGCTCGTCAGAAAGACAGAGAGACAGAGAGACAGAAAGTGAGAAATCACCCCCAGGGGGGATGGCCATGCTGCAATCTCTTCTCCTCCATTCTCCTCTCGGGATCTTGGGCACGCACGCACACACACTCAGTGTGAGTTTAAGCCACTGGGTCCGGGACACGAACCGCAGTTGGCTACATGGGAATCCAGCAACATAGCCATTATGCTAACTGCTGGTCCCAAAATTCCTGCAGAACTTTTGCCTCCACGTTGGAGGACTCAGGATGGGGTGTCTTATTTCTCCTCTAGACACAGTCTTGTTCCCTTCTGTTCTTAGACTCCCGATTCCCCAGCCCTGCAGAGCCCGAGTGCTGAGGTATAGGTGTGGCTGGAGGAGAGGGGACACCTGTGAAAGGCCCCACGTCAGGGCAGCGGCTGGAAAGGTGCGACCCAACAAGAGAGTGAGACTCACCCATCTCCCCAGGGAGGCTGACGCTTAGCAGGGTGACCAGCAGCAGCCTGGCCCACCGGTTGGGATGAGGTCCCGCCATCCTCTTCCTCCTGTGGGAACAGCAACAATCGACCTGTGATGTCTCTACAGACTGGTGGGTGGCGTGGCGCCTCCACGGCCCCGGTGGGTGCGGTCAGCTCGCCAGCTCCCCGTCAGAGCAGCACTCCCTTTGCATGGGTGTGAAAACGGAGGTTCTGAGGGCTCCAGGGATGTTACCAAGGCTATCTCCCTGTCCTTGCCACCTTTCAGTGGCCAGATGCCCTGCAGGCCTGCATCATGCCAGGGAGGCCACTCTCCTGCCTTTGAGGACACTGAGCTCTGAGCCTGTCCCAAGGCCAGGTCTCCTGCTGCTGGTCTCCCCGAGGGTGGGCACAGTTTATCCTGCCTTTCCAACCCCAATAGCCCTGGTTCAGGCTTGGCAGAGACGGGGTCACCCAACAAGGGGCTACCCCTAGAGGGGGTCCTGGCCCATTTGCCTTTTGGTGAGGGTGGGCCCCTCCTGACATCTGGGGCCTGGGGGTGGGGTGACCTGGCCCATCAGGGTGGGATTACAATTCCCTGCCTCTCCCTGCCTCTCCCTGCTTCTCCCTGCCCCACTGTTGAGTTTCAAGGCCCCTTTCAAAAGTTAACCCAGAGTGGGAACCAGCAGTTAGCGTAATGGCTATGTCGCTGGATTCCCATGTAGTCGACCACGGTTCGTGTCCCGGACCCGGTGGCTTAAAACTCACGCCGGGTGCGTGTGCGTGTGTGCCCAAGATCCCGAGAGGAGAATGGAGGAGAAGGGATTGCGGCGTGACCATCCCCCCTGGGGGGTGATTTCTCGCTTTCTGTCTCTATGTCTCTCTCTGTCTGTCTGGCGAGCGCACGCGCCCTACAGTGAAA